GCTTGGTTTCCTATCATGCCCACCCCGAGAGATTAGTCTAATCTTTTTGGTCTTTTTAGTCTTTTGGACCAACTTTTTTACTAGACCAGGTCAGACTTATTCGAGTTGGACTGGGATGGATAAGACAACTAGACTTTTACATAACCTTATTGGGCATGCCAAAGACACAGGGTCTCATTGTAGACAAAGATTTCCAAGCTTCCTTACTACAGGTAACAATTCATTTTATTCTGATAAATTTAATTAAAATAATAAAAATAATCATAATCATAAAAAAATCCATAAAGAATAACAACAAAAAATATTTGAATTACAATACAAATAATTTAAATTCATAACTTCAACAACAGCAACAACAACAATTAATAAATTTCAACAACATATCTAATACGTATTACAATAACAATTTAATAACAAACTAAATTAAAATTATAATAAACAGGATGGTGAAATCTGAATGAAGAAAATATTGCATTCAAACTTTAAACTATTCAAATATATTAAAAATAATTAAAATTATATTAAAATAATTTCATAGGACCAAATTTGGTCTCTTATCCTATCCAACTCGAGAAGTTAGTTTAATTTTTTTAGTCTTTTTAATCCTTTGAACTAATTTTTTTATTGGATTGGACCAAACTTATTCAAGTTGGACTGAGATGGATAGGACAACCATACTTTTACATAGCCTTCTCAGGCACGCCAAAGACACAAGGTCTTATTGTAGACAAGGATTTCCAAGCTTTCTTACTACAAGTTATCCGGATGTGCAAATACAATATATGTTTGAAGGAAGAAAATTTGATTAATGGTGCAAGTTTACATGTAGTTGCAAAAGTACAAAAAAAGTGGAGAAGAATAGCTAAAATCCTAAGTGCAAAGCAATGTAAAAGGTGAAAATAGTGACGAAGCTTTAGTATTTGTGTTTGATGTCCTATTTTTCTTCAGCTAAACCCTATTTATAATGCTCTTTTGATGTCGTTATGTTTGCCAAACAAGGAACCTAGCTAGATGCCCTTGCCAAAATATCCGCTTCCCCTTGGCACAAGCTCATGAAATTTAGGGCACATTAAGTAATGATCCCAGGTCTAAATAATGATATTTTTGAAACAGTTGGTGTGAGTCTTATAAGTCATATCTTTTTCACAATGCAATGCTTAGTTAGTCAAGAATGTTTCCTTTAAATGGAACAGGCTTTACTTCATTTAACAACTCTTATTAAGCCTCACTTTTTGTTTGTCTAGACTTGACGCTTTGTTTTCTATTATTTTAAACTTTAATTAAATGTCACCCCATTTTGGGTCCAAACAAAATTTGATTTATTTTTTATAGTTTTACCAATGGTCAAAGTTACAAAGCAAAGTTTTAAAGCTATTAATTTTCCAAACCGCAAATGTGTGGCTTCTCTGGGAAAAAAACAAGAATAAATGACAATTAAGGATCCCATAAGACTATTAATTACAATTAAGGACCCAAATTGTTGAAATCCTAATAATGGATCAAGGTCCTTATATGGAATTAAAAACATATATAAGCTTAAAAAATTGCTCTGAGTTGGAAAATAAAAAAAGACACTATTGAAATTCTTATTATGGATTAGGACTATTGTTAATTTTAATTAAAAAAATCAAGATCCACATTTAAAAATGGGTTGTTTTATAATATAAAACTAAATTTCACTTGTGAAACTTTGTTAAAAAGCATTTATGAATATATGATAATCACTTAGAAATTCACTAAAGTCACTTTTAAATATAAAGTCAATCATATGTGAATTTCTGTGCTTGTCAATATATAGATAAATCATTTAAAAAATTAAGAAAAGACATTGTTGAAATTATTGTCATTGGTTGGGACTATTATTAATTTCAATTGAAAAAAATCAGGATTTCAAATGTTATGGGTTGGGATACTGAAATTACTATTATGAGTTGAGACTATTATAATCTCATTCCCAAGTGTGAATGTTGATTTTCCCAACTAAGATTAATAGTAATTCAAACCCATAATAATAATTTAAATACTCAAAGGTAATTTTGTAAATTTATATATATGTTTTTAATTTCAAGTAATGGTCATAATCTATTATTGGGATTTCAATAATTTGAAGTTCTTAATTGTAATTAATGATCTTTTGGGTTTCTTAATTTTCGTTTTCCAAAAAAAAAAGTTCTAGCATAATTGTTACAATTAATTTCGTCCATTTGTGGCAAAACAAAAGCTAATTAATGATTAAAAACTAATAAATTAAATTAGCCATTGTGACAAGGCAGTGTTATGCTTAATGCAGATCGACATATATGGCAAATTAAATTGATCGTTGTTTACTTTAATTTCGCTAGCTAGTGATGTTTGCAATCAACTTTGGAGAAAGATAAGACTTAAGAGATAAACATGATCTTCAGAAAAAGCAGCCCCCTTTTTTAATTTACTACAATTCTGTCTGCCTATACACATTACTTTAATTTGGCGGTAATTAATATCACTAGGGAAAAAAAATAACGGGTCTAATTGAAATATTTTTGTTTCATGTTAGGTTATCTAGTTATGCGTGGGCTTAATAAGTTGATGTTAGCAGTACCATATCAAATAAAATTAAACTTAATGATAAATATATAATAAAAAGAACTCCTAAGATTAAATCTTAAAAAATTTTAAATTAAGATGTGGTGTTCTATTAAATAAAATACATGTCCACAGAAATTTTTGTCATGCAACTAGATCGAAGAAGCACAAAAAAAAAAAAAAACTGCTCTGGAATAAACATGCATGGAGCAATTGAACTCAAATTTGGATTATTATGATTGCAAACATGTTGATCATTACCTGAGTAGGAGATGAGTGATGGATAAAGAGTATAAATAAATGAATGAGGAAATGATGTGTAGATTTTATTGTTCATAATGAGTGTCATCAAATACAATTGTTGCAACGGTTTGGTTCCCTAGCGTGAAACCAACAATAAGTCAACTGGGAACAGTAAGTGTTAGTGAAATTGATGATTGGGAAGAATTAAAAGGGGAATATAATTTTCCGTGGAGGATAATATTATGGGAAGCAACTAATTAACTTGAGAGTGAATGAATGGGAATTGACTCGAGCCTGAAATTGGGGAACCAAAGAGTACAGTAATTAGGTAACAAATCATAGAGAGGGATCTGCATTTTGGCCACCTTATACGGTCATCAACACCCTAAGTGTCTTGTGTCTTTTCCTTCCCCTCTCAAGGCTGGGTATTATATATAAAGTTAAAAGCTAAACATATCTTAAAATTTTTTTGTGAGAAATGTCTGGTTTTTTAAACTTTTGTTTGTAGTTATTTTACCTCAAAACTCTTTAAAAAAGTGTAATATTGCCCTATCATTAAAATTTAAAGTTAATTAACTGTTAAAAACTTTGTTTGATGGATAAATGTACAAATGGCATATTGAGAATCAACATCCAAACAACTTTCACAAGGCCAATGATTAGAGCTCTCGAAGAATGGAACTCCTCCAACAAAGAACCTAGTGAACCACTGGATGTCAAAGAAGTTGTTGAACTGAATTAGGAAAGCAAGCGAGACCTTCTTCTCTCTTCCCATAAAACTCCCTTCTCTCTCTCACTCAATAAACAGCTCTCTCAAAAAAGATTTCCTTACAGGGGTTGCAATCAAGCCCAATTCCACATCATGTTCTCCTCTTAATTTGTCCCTTCACATCCTCCAACAATGCATTGCAGTCAGATCACTCTCCTCTCTCTCTCTCTCTCTCTCTCTCTCTCTCACTCAGATTTGGAAGTTTATTAATTAACAATGAATAAGGGAATCATCTAAGGAATCATTTGGAAGACAGAAAAGCAACCAAATATAGTTTTCTCCGCTACCTATGCCATTGGACGAGTTCCAATAGAAGAGGGAGGATTTGAGACACACAAGGGGTTGAAGGGGACATGAATGGACATCACGAATTATTTGGAAAGGGAAAAGGGAAGATGGACAGTTTTTGGTGACATGTTAGTTTTTTTTTTAATTAAAAAATAACATTTAGTGATCAAAGTTAATGATAGTTGATGATAGAGTGAAATTGAACTTTTTTTTAAAATTTAAGATTACAAATGCATTTAAAAAAAATCTAAAACATTTTTATTCTTTAGCTCTTAAATATAAACATTCTTTTAATATAAATTCAGTCGTACACAAAAATAAATAAAAATGCAATGTGAGCATTTACTGCTCATCATTATATATGTTATTATTTTTCTTGATTTTTATCTTCAGTCAAATGGTACAATACAGAATGTATAAACCTGGATCAATTATTGTGAAGCGTGAGGGAGACAGCCTCGGCTGGCGGTAATTAAAAAGCAGGAATAAGTAAAAGCATGGTGAGCCATTTGTCTTTTGTGCATCTATATATCCAAACAAAATGTTCATTCCATACACCAAAAGCAAAAAAGGACACATTAAACAGCAAATAAAAGATTTGTGTCTCTAAAAGAAAAGGACGTAAAGCTTATTTGGGATTTGGGTTTCAAATGGTCGAGCTATTCAAATTACATGCACCTAAAGTAGATTAAAAATCTCAAAGAGACAGAGAAGCTTGACCTGGTTGGTGTCAAGCAAATCCTTAGGCATTTCCGTTGAGAAAAAAATCCTCATTATATACTCCCTCCATTAAAATATATAAAGTATACTCTCTTTATAATCAATTTTAAAACAATACCATCTTTTCATATTTGTCCATTTTTTTATATTTGTCTTTATTTAATCGGATGTCTCACTTAAAAGTAAATGATTAAATAGTACATCTTATATTTTTGGACATCTAATCTAAAAAATGTATTATATTTTTAAATAGAGGGAATCTTAGATTTGGATCTTTATTCATTATATTATCAAGATTAATTTCTTCTGCTAGAGTAAACTCATAATATTTGTAACGACAAATTATGAACAATATGACTCATTTATTAAACACTCATTCAATTGCAAAGGGCAAAAACAAAATACTGGCTCGTAATTATTTGAGTCCAAAATAGATCGGCCCACCAAATGGTGGCCCATTGGTATTCAATTTCACGAGCACAATAGGGATCCGAAACCTTGCCAAGTTTATTGAACATGAATAGTGGAGACGAATACAACGTGATCATTAATATAAAATTGGGCCTGACAATCCGTTTTGAACTGTTCATCCAAAATTCTGAAAGCAGGACCCAAAAAGAAATTGCTTTCTCAACTTTTGTATCACAAGCTTCTGCGTGTCTTCTGTGCCCCCAATTTTCCCGTTTTCTCCTCGAATCTTGAATTTAAAATGTGGCCATTCTATGGCGCCAATTTGGGTCGCAGAAGGAGGATCAGGTGGCTTCCTGATATATATATATATATATATATATCTCCATCGTTCTTATTATGGAAGGAGCAAATATTACGCAACTTCATGCTTTGGATTTTCCCATTTCTGTAAATGCAAGTATGCTTTCTCGGCCTGCATTTGTATCATACCATTCATATATGTCACACTAATTACTATTCAACCACAAAAATCACGAGATAAATCAGAAGAGTGGAGTTTAACTTTGATGAATAATAATAATATTATTTAATCGGACACATAGATCAATACCTCTTTGTCCCAGTCGCAGCGAATGGTGATCAGAGCCAGTATCAGTGTCTGAGTAGCTGTGCCACCAAAAATCATGCCAGCCCATATCCCCTGGTTTTTCCATCACCCATTAATAACAGTCTTAGAGACATTTAATTAATCTTAACTCAACCTCACCGCCACACACACACACGTCAAAAGATAAGCATGTGCATGTCAATTTAATATTATGAATAAATTAACATGCCGCCTGTTACATAAATTATTTACATGCTAAATGATTTTCTTATCAGGTTCAATAATAGTTGTACTCAATTTTTCATTTGATTTCTAAAATTTGTAATCGTTTTTCTTAAATTTTTTTAGTCACATCTGTGCTATGTCATACTTTTACTAAATCCCTATAGCAAGGACGTCATGCACGTATTGTTTAATATTTCGAATATATCTAATTAAGGCCAAGCGAATGAGCGAAATCAATGATCAATAGAAATGAGACGGTACATGCCAATTTATTCCTCGAAATGAATTAACTCATTAAATGACGCGTATGTCAAGACAATCAACACTTGCTTAGTCATGTTAGGAAAATATATATTGATGCAAGTTTAATAATAAATTTTGAAATATTAAGAATTAAATTGAAAAATGGATGGAAGTACAAAACAACGAGGGATAAGTTATTGAGCCTATATCGGTCATCAGCATATGAGTCTCTTTTTTGCATAAACAGGACAATGTAATCTGGATGAGCTTTTTGAATAATAGTTTGCACATACCATAACACCAAGGTGGAAGGCCCAGCCCATCAAAAAACCAAGGGGAATACCGATGAGATAGTAACAGGCCAGGTTAATATATGCCACGTAGGACTGCCACCCCGATCCCACTGCGACGCCTGTACATGCATGCGCCAAATCCATCACGATCGTGTCAAATAATATTAAAATTATTATATTAATAGAAAAGATGAGCATTTATGTGGACGAAGGGTTGGAGACAAACATACCGGAGAGAACAGGCTGGACGCTGTTGAGCAAGATGGTAAAAGCCAGGAGGAGAGAGAGTTTGCTGACCTCGTCAAGCACGGCTTTGCTAGAAGAGAATATGAATCCAAATTGATTGTGGAATATCATTATCAGCGTCCAAAACATTATCCCTATCACCACAGATGTCCCTACCGACACCTTCGTCGCGAACTTGGCTCCTTTCCCGTTCCCTGCCCCTAGCTCGTTCGCCACTCGAACCCTGCATTTTCATCCATCTCATCATCTCTTTCAAACACCAACAGAGGACCTAACCAAAAGTCAAAAAGGCTGCTGTCTTCCGCGCTGGTTTCGTACGAAGCTGCAGCCCATGACTCTCAGAAAGTTTGGCTCCATTTAAACAAGGCAGAATATCCCCTTGAAAGAACTCAACATCTAACAAGGATTCTTCATAAATATTAACAAGTAATAAGTGAAGTTCAAGTTTCAATAGATATCTGATCTTTCCAAGTCTCCTTCAGATATTAAATCATTTTAGAAGTTCTTTATTAGTATTCTCCCTCTAAACAAACTTCAAGCGGGGGCTCTATTTTTAGTTTTGTGGAAAAGTAAAGGTGCATGCATGTGTTTGATTATTTTAATTACTATACCCCTTTCTATGGCAGGTTCCTCCTGGAATTCGACGTTGTCGCTAGATGTCCCAATTATTTATGGAAGGATACAAGTAATTGCTGATAAATTATTGCTATACTTTGTCTTCTCCCTATGCTTAGTCCTCACTCATCCAACGACATATAATTAAGGAACAGCGGCTGGTTTAATTATTAACGTGACATATCATCATGTCATTTTCAAGTAATCGTGTCATTAAATAATTATGACTGGAGAATGCGAGTTGGTGAGTTTAGATTTGAATATTGAAATACCGAGCCCAGAAGGTCACCATAACAAATTATGATACGATGAGCTGCAAATCTTGTGGCACACGAATTCGCAAAAGGAATTTTTGTTGGACACTACTACCTCGGTTGATAATCATGATTAATTCATGCGCTGAACATCATAAAATAGATGTGTTAAACTTCACAATTTGAGTTTGACAACGTTTTCCGAAATCCGAAGCCACCATCCACATGTTTTCCTAGCCACTTGATTCCGTCGTAGATACGTGAAAAGGATGGCTTGATCAGATACGTATTTGTTCAATATTGTTGTGGTGCAGATATTTCGATAGATTATTATATTTATTTATTAAAATTATACTATATACTCCATCATCTTAAGGTCTTACCCGGTGGCAGCAAAGAATCCCAGAGGAATCATGAGCTCCCAGCCATTGATAGTCATGCTGTCATACGCACAAGACAAACAACATAATCAGTGCCCACGATTCCCCCACACTAATTGTTTCAAGTAAATCTTAATCACTTGCCCAAAACACGAATATCAAATGAAATGAAAGAAACTAACTAAAATTCGACAGGGTAATATGCGATTAATCACCATATAGACAAGGCATCCACCGCGATTTCCGCGTTCTGAAGATTCCCTGTCATCAATATCAGCACTCTGTAATACCAGTTCTCCAGGCTGTAATTGAAACCCACCAATCATATTTAAACTCATTACTTATGATCAACAACTTTACTAATATATTTACAAAACTAATTAAATTAAGTTTATCATTAATTAGAAGTACCAGAGCATGACCCCAGAAGCAGCAGAGAGCTTGACGAACTCCCAGAGACCAGAAAGAGCTTCAATGGAGAATCCAGTCCAAGTTTCAGGACAGCCACCACACGCAGTGTAACCAAAAAGTCCAAACACCAAAATCCACCACGATATATTGATTGTAGCAGCAGTTCCGATCACTCCGAATTGAAGCTGGTACACGAACAACCAGCTTACGAACACGTGCACGATCAGAGCCACCAGAGAAACCCAAGCAATCGCCCCAGTCTTCAGCTGGCTCTGCAAAAACCGCTGTAATGGAAACTGAAACGCAAAACTGAAGTGAAGAGGTATCATCCACTTCGCCACCGTCCCGGAAAGCTCCGATAACTCTTCTGTCTGCCCTAATAGCTTTAACGCCGGCGTCGCAAACAGATAGATGGGTAAAAGAAACACACAGCACACGAACAGCACGATCCATGAACGCTGCATGTATACCCCTAACATGTAGTACTTCTTGGCACCGTATGCTTGCCCACATAACGTTTCCAACGCACTCGCCATGCCCAACTGATCCAATAAACATACAGAAATTCATGTACCAGACAAATACACTGAGTGATTTAAGAGGAGTCAAGTGGAATAAGGTTGCGGGGTGCGTGCGTACCATGAGACCGAAGTCGAAGCCGACGATGACGTTGTTGGAGATGGAGATCGCGGCGAGCTCGAGGTCGCCGAGGTGGCCGGCGAAGGCCTGGGTGATGACGAGCATGGAATAGGAGGCAACACGGCTGAAGATGGCCGGGCCCACTATGTGCCAGAGCTTCTTGGATTCGGCCCATACCCTTCTGGCTAGGGTTTCATCAGGGTCGTCGTGTTGTTCACTTTTGGGGGCGACGGCTGAAAAGTGGGGTTCCAGCAATGGAACCTTTGCGTCCCGTAACCGAGAAGAGGAAGACTCTTTGCTCGGCATGTCGTAACTTGAAACGAAGAAGAAGACGACAGTGAGAAGAGAGAATGAGAGGAGCGAGGGTGTTATATTGCATCTCGTGACTTTGTTGAGGCAAATTGACTTCCGTGCTATAAAAAAAAAATTATTTTCCACAATGCTACACTTTCAATAATATTTACCTTAATACTACAAATTTAAAATTTAGCTTAATTAGTACCGAATTTCAAATTTTGTTTGATAAAAAACGTATATAGAACTTGGTTTCTATCAAACCAAGTTTTATTTAATATATAAAAAAAACCTGTCCCATCATCTCTCTCTTCAGCTACTTTTTTTTTTGTCAAATATAAAACTTGACTTCTATCAAGTCAAGTTCTATTTAATTTTAAAAAAATTAAATATATATCTTATCTTCTCTCTCTTTAGCCAAATTCTAATCAATTATATGGGCAAAATCTAAATCATACAATTATTATTCCAACATCATTAACTCCATTAAAGACTAAATAATCAATTGAAATTCCTAATCAATTAAAATTAAAATGTTAATTTTTAATACAACATTATATGCTTGGATTAATCGAATAAATCACCATGAATCTCTAAAATCATTAAATGAGATGTTCTGAGTAATACTAAGTCATCATAAGTAAAAATAATAAAATTGCTAACATATTTTAGGTTATATCATGAGTGATATTAAATTATTATGGATCTCTAAAATTGTCAATCGAGATATTATGAATGATACTAAGTTATTATAATATCCCTATTTTTACTCCTCAAATCTAAATAAAAAATTTATAATTATATAAATATTAAAGAAATTGTGTTTATCATAATATACTAGTAGAGTTTAATTTTTAAGATGTTAAGAAAGTACTATAAAAATTACATAATATGTGGGGGGAGGGAGGGTTTATAGATTATTAATTTTGAAAAGAAAAGAAGGAAGAAGATTTAAAATAAAAAATAAAGAGGAAAGAGAGAAAGGGTATCGAAATGTGAGGCCAACTAACTTATTTTATTATTTTCAATCTCATTTATTCTTCTGCGCGCATCACTTTCTCTTTCTTTCTTTCTGTCTTCCTCTTGCTCGGTGCACAGTGAGAAACTAAGACAGGGAGTGAGCAAAATTTTAAAAATGGAGCTCCATAATAGATACCTTAAGTATGATCTTAAGCTTTTTCAAACTATATAAATGTTTTAAATATTTTTTTTAATCACATACTTTCTTTAGTTTTTGATTTCTTAATGATAGAAAACCTAGAATTTGATATAGTTTGAGTTTTTAGAGACTTTAATTGATTATTTAGTCTTTAATGGAGTTAATGATGTTGGAATAATGATAGTATGATTTAGATTTTGCCCAAATAATTAATTAGAACTTGACTGAAGAGAGAGGGGATGAGATATATATATTTAATTTTTTAAAACTAAATAGAACTTGGCTTGATAGAAGCCAAGTTCTATGTCTGACAAAAAAAAAAAAAAAATTTGACTGCAGAGAGAGATGATGGGATAGATTTTTTTTTTATGTTAAAATTCTATGTACATTTTTTACCAAAAAGAATTTGAAACCCGATACTAACAAGGCCAAATTTTAAATTTGTAGTATTTAAATAAATATTATTGAAAGTGTAGTATTATGAGAAATAATTTTTTTTTACAGCACGGAAGTCAATTTGCCCTTTGTTGACGACGGGGCATATCATATAGGCGCATTTGGAGAATCCAAGTCCATTGAATCGAGGAAGGGATTAATACTGGAAAATAAAAATTATTAGAAAAAATATTAGAGATCCTCATGCCATACTGCATATGTCTGTTGACGGAAAGGCGCAAATGCAAGTGCGCCAGAAGTCAGAACAAGGCCTCCCCCCGCCTCCGCACAATAATGGGATTGAAGTCATTGCTTACGACCATTTCGTCTGGTAAGAGGCATTTAGAGCATGCTCGGATTACTTAAAAACGTAAGCTAGGATGGACGAATTGAGGTTGGAATGAGAAAAGTTTTAAAAAATTTATTTGGATTACAAAATTTTTTTAACTTCAGTTAGGTTCTAAATAAGCTTTTTCACCAACATTAAAATTTGTGACTTTTGCATTCATATTGATTTCTGTATTGATTTATTGATTTATGCTTTATCTCTCTTCTCTTTTATTTTGCATATTTAAAATTTTTTACTTATTAGCTGTAATTTTAAGTTTAATATTTTTTAGTTATTAATTAGTCAAAAAATATATACAAAAAAATTTATACTTATTTTTATCATTAAATATCTCAACTAACTTTTGAATCAAATCATCCAAATGAATTTTAATTTATATTGCATTTACTGACTTTTTTCCCAACCTCAGTTAGCTAACCTTAGTTAAAAAAATTTTAATTCAAACATACACTCATTCTCTCTATAGCCTTACAAAAGTTTCTTGGCTTTGTTTTTAATAGCAAGTCCCAATGGAATTAAATTAATTACTCTTTTTTATGGTGTTATGATCACATATTCAAAAAGATGGTTTATCTCAAAAGACTGATTTATGATTTATTAGATGAGAAAGCCTCTTATACTAATAAACTATACTTATTTTGCTAGACTACCCAATGCAAGACTACTATACATAGTATTGAGTAGTGACAATCGAATAGTGTTTAATTTGATTTTTTTGGGTAAAAATTAGTGTTTAAGTTATTGACATTTGGGGAAAGAGGGTTGTGGTTTATATCACATACGTTTGAGCCTTAGAGGCATAGGTGACTTACATAAGAAGGGATGGTGTTTGGGCTGGAATCGACACGCCTCTTGCCAAAGGCCACAACCTAAAATGGGTTGAGGAACTAAAAAGTTAGGCCTAATTAACAATCAAAAAAGAAGAGCAATCCTATATTCCACGAGAATAAATCAATCACATGACAAGCACTTAAATCCCTTAAATTTCAAAACTATTACTAGACTATTGGTATATAACACCACAATATAAACGGGCCCCAAATCTCGTAAAGACATGACTAATAGCCTTGAGTATCTCAAAGATATGGGCTAATAGTTAAACAATAAAGCATGTTATGAAGTAGACCATGTATAGCTGATCCTTTATAATTCATGAATACGTTCCAGATTCCATAGGAGCAACCACCGAAGCTTTGTCATTATAAATAGAGGATTAAACCACAAAAAGAGGACATGAACACTGCTCTAAAGACTTACATCTTGCACTTATAGCTCTTAGATTTATTGGATAGTTTTTACTTGTAACTTTTATTTGCATTTCCAAAGACTTACATCTTGCACCTATAGCTCTTAGATTTATTAAATAGTTTTTACTTATAGCTTTTATTTTCATTTCTAGCCTTGTAATCCTTTACACTTTGTAATCTGCTAACATTAATCAAAAACTTGTTCTATCAATTCTTATGTATCTTTTACATTTGGGTAAATTATAATAAGGGAGCCCGGTGACTCTTTATTAACAATTGAGACTTAGTGTCTTTGGCACTCCTAGTAATTTATTATTCCTAACAAACAATTTGTGCCATGCCTAGTGGGACATGTGTAATAAGATGCCGAGGATAGGAAAAGACAAAAAAAAATTAATGAGACAAGTGCTGGTTCTCATAAACTAGAAGGAAACTCTATACTTACAGGGTTAGAACCGTTAATACCTGTAGCTGAGACGACTGGATATCATAAGCACGTAGTACCAATGACAACGAGTAGCAGTAGCACAAGCCTTGGGGAAAAACTAGCAAGTGAGTAGGTAAACTTGTTGATTATATCTAACAGTCTAATAATAGAAGTGCTATAAGGAATCCAAGACCGCATGAATAAATGGCTGGAGGAGAATCAGAAGATTTTTGCTATCTCATTGGAAACGTCATAATGCAGGAAAAAGGAAAGACAACAACTCATAACGCAGGCTTTACACGACAGAATGAGGAACTTAGCCACGTCACTGAAATAGACACCTCTAGAAGCAGGCTCAAACTTGAGGCTGCATGGAGGATAACAACTAAGGACTAACACAAGCACCAGCCCTTAGGGCCATACTACTATAAGGGGTTATCTTATTCCCCATGTTTTTGCTAATAGTAGTCCTTTAAATAATCACTTATATTATTTACAAGAGCCTGGTGTAACATCTCAAGTTTTAATCCCCTGGTTAATTAAACTTAATTAGGGTAATTAAGAAAGTTGAAGTAGTATGTAGGTAAAAAGGTTTAATAATTATATTTGATGATATTTTAGCCTTAATTGTGGGTTTGGTATCAAGGCGGGCCACTTGAGCATCAAAAGGAGAAGAAAAGGAAGAATTGATGTTGTTGTGCCATACACCGCAGCATGGAGATTGTCCACCACAGCGCATAAATGCTTTTGAACAAGAGAAGATCTCTTTATGCCATGCGCCGTAATGCATTATGTGTCTGTTGCGGTGCATGGCCTTTTTTGTAATTTATTAGATGCAAAATGAGACAAAAATAGAGAGAAAGAAAAGAAAAAACAGAGAGACGTGCCAAGGTTTGCTAGGGTTTACTTGTGGATGACATTGGGAGTATTTTGAAGGCTACAAATACCCAAGGTAAGTATCACACTTATTAATCTCTCCATTTCTTCCAGATTTATGAGTTTATGATTAAAATTTGATAGTGAAATTTTGATCTATATAGGTTATGGGTTTGAATTTTTTAACTCAAATAGAGTTAATGAGAGTAGATTAGAGTATCTAAACCTAGGTATAATGAGTTTTGGTGTTTTGGATTGTTGGGCATCATTAATATCCAAAAATGTCATTTATTACGAGTGGTTAGAAGAATGTGATACTATTAATGAAAATTTAATGGTTCATTAATGTTACTGGAGACTAAAGGTAATTATTAAACCCAATGAATAGGTTTCAACTCATGTAAAGTGAATGTTGGGGAAATTTAAAAGTGGTGATTGAGGGTTTAAATACTTGAATTGGTAATGTTAGTGAATTTTAACTTGCTTAATTGTAGTTTTGACTTTTAGTCACCTATTGGATTGGAAATTCAAGCTTAAAAGCTAGTAGATTGAGGGGTAAATCTTTGACTTCTTAAAGGTTTAAGATAACTGGGGGAACTCTACTTTGGGTAGTTATGTATTAATTAATTATAAATGGATTTCTATTGTGAGTGTGGTGTGCATAGGTTAATTTTCAATGTAAAAGGCATGCGCTAGTTTTGATGAGTATATAGAAAATTGAATGTGCATAAAGTTATTTTAATTTGAAATACAAATGCCTAATTATGATATTTTTGAATATGAACTTGCATATGTCTTTAGAAAAATGAACGCGATGATTATGTAAGATAGATGTGTGTTAATGAGAAATGAAGTTTGAGAAAATAATGTAAATACATACTTGGGTAGCACATGGTCATGAGTCCAATGTGATTGTTGTAATAATGAGCATATGAAAATGAAAAAGTAAAAACAAGTGAGTAATTAATTATAACATGATTAGTGGCAGGAATTCGCCTAGGGATTGGGAGTAGAAAAAAATTTATATGGTATTTAGACACCCTCCGATGCACGAGGGTATAGGCTTCTTCCACAGTTTGTCGAGAAACTGTTTCATAGTTTGTCGAAGGACTAGAACCTAGCTATTTTCATCAATTTAATAAGAAAAATAGTCTAGGGTATGAATACCCCAGGAATTCAAGAATGGGAGAAGCCATGGTTTGAAAGTGAGTCCTGTGATTTTTGACCGGGTCACACCTCACAATTGATGAGTTTGGGCAGTCTAGTCACACTAACGGAGCCCTAATTAGTATTATAGCTTATGATTTCAGTCTAAGAAAATAAGAAAGATATAAAATTAGTTGATTATTGCCTAAGTAAATATATGACGTGTCACATATGTTAAGTGATGGAAAGTCGCATGAGTATGGGTTATGTCACATATCTAAGAATATGGTGATAATGTACCTAGTTATGAGAGTTAAAGAAGTTATGTAATGATAAATGACAAGATATGTTATATGGCAGCATGTTCTACATATTTGATTTTCTTTGTTTATGTAATTTGGTTTGTAATTGATATATAAATGTATAGGGTAGGTTTAACCTTAGTTACTGAGTGGCTAGACTCACCCCTTTTATTTAACATTTTTTTAGACTCTAACTCTGGTATTGAGAGGGAGAAGGATAAAAAGGCAAGAAATTAACATATTCCTATTGTATGTCTCTAGTTTAGATTTAATTATATAATAGTATATGAATTGTCAATTCTAGGATGCATGCCATCACACTCGCACTATTTTATTGTTGGAAATATTAGATTTATATTTTAGACCCTTAGTCTTTGTGTATGTGGATATATATATATATATATATGTATATGTTTATAGGGCAAAAATACTAGTGCAAGTGTAGAAATAATGATTTAAACATGTTTTGAACAATTTGGGCAAAATGCAATGACGATTTACCTCCCTCTCTATTTTTAGTAAAATGGGGTTGAGGAATGAATTCTTGTTATACTATTATTTAAGTGCTTGTGACGTGTTGTACTGGTAGTCCTAGATCCATTGGACATGGTCCAAGTATTAGGAAAAGCTTTTGGCACATGTTGAGGGTTTTGAACACTCATTTTGTGTTGAAGTTGTGAAAAGTGGTTGAAATATTTTTAGGCATCCAACTTCCTAGTGTGACTTATTTTGAAAGTGAAACCTACACCATTAGCTAGTTTATGTAAAGAGCTTTCTATAAATACCTAGATCATGTCATTCGGATGTCGGACGAAGAATTAGGGTAAGTCAGAAGTTCCCCCGATTCTGCTGTCAAATGACAGCACAATCAGTTGAAATTTTATGCAACACACCACAGAGCATGGTGCTTGAGCCACAATACGTGACACAGAGAGCAACACGCCATAGCACAATGTGCACAAGCCACGGCGCATTGCCTTATTTCACAGCATATGTTTTGTTTTTCAATCGTTTTTGACTTATTTTACTCCTCTGAGGTATCTCATGCTTTCGAAACTTATTTTTATTCTGATATAAAAGATTTTGATTGATTTAAACTTATTTTTAGTTAGAAAACTTAGAATCATTTACTTTTGAATTGAACTTTGGTAATCATCTTGTTGAGTTAAGTTTTTAATTACTAGATGTTATATTGGTTAATTATATTTGGTGAAGTAAGAATGTTTCACCTGGCACCAAAGGCCTGGGGGACATGGGATTAGTCTCAGAATGTTAAAATGAGCTACAAAATCAGTCGGTGAATATGAAAGCTTTAAGGAACACCATTTAGGACATATACGGGCCAAGACTGAGGCCAATTTACCGTCCTACTTTCTCAAAGCCTTATCCTGAATACATAAATGGAGATAATTCGTACCTTTGGGCCTACAAAATTCCTGATTTTACCCTACTCTCAGGAGATGGCACACAATCTGCATTAGAGCAAATTGAAAGATTTACTATTTAATGTAGAGAGATCACTAACTAGATAACTTCCACTACTAGAAAAAGTGAGGTTAGTGAGGACTTAATTATTTCTCTCTAAATTACTGCATTAGCAAGGAATTTTGTGAGGAAATTTTATTTCATCTCTAAAAAAAATTAGCGAAAAAATTTAGCAAAGAATAATATATTCCTCTTTAATTTGTCTAATTAGCAAGAAATAATATAATTCTCTTTGAATGGTTTAAATAGCAAGGAAATTAGCGAAGTAATATGATCCTCTCTAATTAGTGAGGAATTAAAGAGGAATGGTCATTCCTCTCTAAAAAAGTTAATAGTAAAATGAAAAATAATAATAAGAATCAAAAAGGTTTTAACTTGTATTTATTTTTTTTAAAAGTACCTATTTTACCAAAAAAAATCGATTAGGCATATTTAAAAAAAATATTAATATTCAATGTCATTTTGTTGATTGGTGGGAGGCATAAATGAACAATTGAAATATTAAAACCTTAAGTCTCTCTTGCCCGACCAGTTCAATCCGTGCCTCTCTTGCCTTCAGTCTCTTTCACTTGACCTCGTTTAGTTGGTATGATTCCGGTCTCTCTCGCTTGACCTCATCTTGCCTTTGGTGTCTCTTGCTCTCTGTGATCTGTTGCTCCAGCTCATCTCCTGTCGCCACTCTCTTTGACGAGGGTTAGCCACTACTCCATCTCTGGTCGAGTTTGTCTTGCTCTCTCGGTCGCCACTCCTTCAAGCTTCCTCCATCTCCAGTTGCCACTCTCACTCTCTCCAGTTCGTCTCCCATCACCACTCTCTCTCGAGCTGGAGCCTGTCTTTGGTTGCCTTAGTTTGTTGGCTCGTCTTTTAAAATTCCATAGGTCGTCTCTGCTTCGTGTTGACTTGCTGCTGCCTGTTGGTTTGTTTCTTTTCTTCGTTAACACATCATTTTTGATTTGTTTTGGTTAAAAGCAAAATGATTTGCTGTTGTTTTGTTTGAAATTATCCATGGCTGTTAGCTGGGTTATTTTGTTTTGTTAATTGTTTGCACTTTGCCTGCTTGCTTGTTTGAAATTATCTCTGTTGGCTGGCTTTGTTAGTGTTCTTAGTGAATGAAATCTTCTCTCAGGCATGAAAATGGAAGAATAAAATCTGCTTCTACTCCTTCTCCATACATGCAACCATGCTGGGCTGTGATGGTAATTCACTTTCAAACCATAAATTTTTATAGTATCAGCGACTCATTGATATTCTATATCCTACTACCCAAACAATTAATTCTTTGATGCAACTTGATCTTCTTGCTGGTGTTGATGTGGGGGTCAAACTCTAAGAATATCTGCTTTTATAGGTTGTTGATCGTAATGGACTGTAGGTGAGCTTCATCCATCTTTTAATTGATAGAAATTATGCATCATTTACAAACACACACACACACACGTATATTACATCCTAAATCTTGACCTTTATAAAGGGAAAATAAAACTACTGGTCTTGTTTTTCTTTTCTGTCCACCCCAAGGTTCTCGCCAGTCCCTGTCTCCTTTGGTATGGACATATCATATACAACTATTTTAAATTCTGATTCAATAAAAATGATGACCTATATTAAATAGTGCTCATAAGGTTACTTCATCATAATGAAAAGTTGACTGCATTCCTCCCCTGTATCCTATAATTTAACAAAGAAGATAAACAATTATATACTCAAGCTTTCTGATTCTTTTATGAAAAGCTACTGGTGATGGACATCCTACAGCGGAAAGACACTAAACTTGCTGGCTTGCATTCTATTTTGATTGATTTAATAACTAATTGGGTTTTTTTTTTATACTTTCGTTGTTTCAGAAATCTTGATAAGCATTGAAACCTCCGTCTTCTTGACTGCCTTGTATTTTTATGCTTTTCCACTTCCTTATGTATATTGTCATTGGTATCCACTGTGACTATGTTGATACTATGTTTCATATGTGAAAATAGGATTTAATGTCTGATGGCTTTAGAACTCTATTTTGCGGAGATTGTGGTGTTAAAGAGGATAATAAGTGTGTTTTGAATTTTGATGAATATAATCTATGCTATCACTTGCTAATACAACCGTTTTATTTTAACTCTTGAATACTATTTGGTCATGAAAAGTATTTGCTCATGAGCCCATATAACCGTCTTCAACTATGGTGACCTTTGCTAATATTTTTTACCTGCAATGACTATCTAGCTTATCCAGTTTCTGGCCATTATTGATTTTTTTCTCTTTTCCTTGCATGTTTATATTCTTTAATAGAGTTGAAATTTTACAAGGAAACACTTTTCTGGCAGAGAAAGGGATATCATTTCTAAATTAGTATTGAAGTGTAACTAATACATTTCCTTTTAGATTTTGATATTAGCCAAACGTTCAAAGTAAGAGGTGAAGAGGAGCGTTTTAATGGACAAATCTAGAATGTGACAAAATTGATAGATTTCACTTTTGAAGAATTGAAGGTAGCAATTAGAAATTTCAGAGTTGAATTTATGTTAGGAGAGGGAGGTTTTGGCAAGGTATACAAGGTTGGCTTAAAGAGATTATATTATTTATTTTAAATTTGGTATAATATGGAAAACTTATGTTATATTGCATATTTTAAATTTCTTACATAGTTCTTATTTATGGATTGAAGTATTTGCTAATAAAAATTTCATTTGTGAGTCAATTGTTTGATTGAATTTGATTTATTTATAAACAAAATTTTAATTCTTACAAAACCAACATGCAATTTAATGAGAAAATTATTCCTCTTCAATTGAATCAATTTGTGAGGAAATAATGAGGAATTGTTTCCTTGCTAATTTTAATGAGGATCGCATTTTTTATAATGGCCATGTTAAAAATATAAAATTAATGAGAAATTAATAAGAAAATTATGACCTCATCACTATTAGTCAAAAAAAAATGAAGTCCTCGCTAAATTATTATTTTTTATTAATTATTAGTGACCCATCGTTGAATCATAAATTTAATAAGAAAATTGTTTTCCTGCTAGATTATGATTAGCTAGAAATAAGTCAAATAAATCATAATTTTCTTGCAGTGTTCGCTGAACAGATGGTTCAGTCATTCGCATGGTACGTTCCACGTTCATCGCCTGATTTTGACATCACCGTGTTGTCCTCCCCCCATCAATCGTCATTTCTCCCACTCAAAACTTTTCACCAAAAATACAATACAACACCCTTCTTCATTATATATTATTTAGCATGTTGTCATCTCTCTTCTCTCCCAGACAAATACGAATAACTTGCTTAAACGAATCTTGACTCTTCAGGCTTCAACCAACGACCTGACGGTTCACCAGTGTGAATGTGTTACCACATGGAATAATTAAATTTGGGGGAACAGTTCAGTACACAGCAGCTTTGAAAAGACCTGATCACAAGTACTGGGACAAGGATCACACTGCCTCAGCTAAACAAAATTGAGTATCATGAGCGAAAAGCTAAAGAAGCTAAACATCTTTTTATTTCAAGAATATCATTAAATATTAACTGCGATCGTGCATCCTTCAACTAGGGCAGTTGCCTATTTGCGTCTCCACGATCGTGCTTTGTTATGCCTTGTTTCCATACAAGTGGGCCCTTCATTGGCCCAGCACGATCCTTCACGTGATCAATCACTTTAACTCGAACCAGCAATATTGCATCGATAAAACACTTAGCCGCCTATGATGTCTCCAACGTTGTAGTAGGATTAGTAGTTATATTCATTAGTTTTTAAATAATGATAGCATCACTAACGTTAGAATTCTCAACATTGTTTAATTGATATTAAATCCCTTCTGTCTAATTAGATGACCAAGCAACACTATCAGATCTAAAGCCGTCTAAACTGCGAGCACAGAATCCTGCCATCTCTCGCCAATCACCGTTGTTAGTTCATGTCACGTGCCTGCCTGATATAGCACTCGCGGACTAAGCATTACTGAGCCTGAGCTACATAAACTCGACAGATAAGGACTGTCTCAATTGATGTCAGGCCTAACATTTATAGCTATAACGGGCTTTACATGTTATGGGGAACCGTGGGCAGGCCCATTAAAAGACATGCCTCTTTTTTGCAGTGGACGCTTGGATTCTTGTCAATGCCAACAACTTAAACAGAATTTTTTTTTCCTTTTAAAAACACTTAAACAGTATTTGAAATACTAAATGAAAAGAAATGAAACACATAATTTAATGCGTGAATAATTACACTTAAAGCCCACTCTTGAAATTAGAGTCAGTGCTTCAAGTCAAGCTCGAATAAATTTAGAAAATCTTAAAGTTAATTTTAAAAGTTTAGAAAAATAATGCTGAAAAAATTCAAGTCAAACTCAAACACAAATGAATTTAACCTGAATGTCAAGGTTATTTGTTTTATTATTAATGAAATAAAATTAACTTTCATGTCAGTTTTCCTTTAACATTCGCAAACTCTCTCCCAAACTCCCAGTCCAAACATTTCACACTCTTAAATGAAATTTTAATATCATGATAATGGTTTGTTTTGAATATACATGAAAAGTTCATTTTAATGTTTTTATTAAAAAATCTTAATTTTTTAAGATAAAAATTAAAATTGACTAAAAAAGAAAAGGTAAAATAAAATCATATTTAATAATCAAATATTTAGGTTTGTTTGAATAAGCCCGATTAGAATTGAGCTTAGCTACATGTGATTTTTTATATGTATAGATATTATAAGTTGGATTTGAATAAACACGACTTTAAATCGACTATCTAAACTATTGGCTCTACTTAAAATTATGCTTATATACATAATTTCAAACAATGCTCATTCAAGGGACTGCTCTCACAATTCTTGAAGAAGCCGTGCCAGCCTCCTCCTGCGGCCACACAATAAGAACATCTTTTCGTGACTTGTACAATATTCTGTATGCGGAACAATATTTTGCACTTTCCACCTATAAAACAATGCTTTTTACTCATCGTGTTTGATTAAAAAAAGCCCACTCGAAAAAGAATGTTTTAAGACCATTGTCAAGAATTATTACACAAGTGCAATAGACATTATAGAATTTTCCAATTCTATTCAAGTATTTTCTTTTCCCAATCTGGATATACATGTGAGCTTTTGTGAAACACCACTTGCGATTCTCAAAGCTTTGGCATGAAGATTTGCGTCTGATCTTTATCGTGTTTGTCTCCATTTTCAGTTTCTCACATGCTCCATTTTCTCACTATGGTTACATGACATGGATACCCTTATACATCTTCCAGAATGATGGTTTGAATTTTGACCTCAACCAACACCCCGCGTGAACATCTAAACATGTACATGCCAAAACTCAATTTATGATCTAACATTTTGAAAAAATAATATGTTAACCGAGACATGAATCCCCGTGTAATTCTCTCTTGTTTTGTGATGGTTGATTAATTATACAATAGAAATGTAACTATGAAAATCCTGACATTTATCCAACTCTATAACATTTCCAACTTGCTGTCCAACATTCCTTGACAACACAATTTGTTCAAAGACTGTTGTTTGTCACGCTTAGAACCCAAAATAGATCCTTGTTGATAACTCTCTCTGTACAGAATAGGTCCAAGTGGACTTGTTGTTATATGTGTGTCAAAAGTGTGTGTGTTAAAGTGCCACGTTGATTAAAAGAAAGACTCTCCTAGTGTATATATACTAAGGAATGAAGTGGGCTAGTAAAATGGGCTTGGAAGAGAAGTGGCCTCGCGTACATGAGACAAGCCAACTAAGGGAATCACAGTTGAAATCAGCTGATTCCCCCCTGCGCGCGAATTCAAGAGGTAGTGGGTTCCTTTTACCGGATTATTTTTACAAATAAATAATTATTTTGGCTTGCCGAGAAACTCAAATTTTGCCTGTCTGGAGTTTGAAGTCAAACCAAGAACGTTTTTTGATCATTAAACAAATTAATTTTTCTAAAACGTTTGTCTTCCCAACGTTTCCAGACAGGAGGTTGAATGCGTTTTACATACGTTTGTGTAACTCCAACATTTCCAGACAAGTTTTTAAACAATTTTTATGAGACTGTAACCGAGCTTTTAATCCGGTGGTAACCCCCCAAATTCATGTCCACCTTTAGGCTACATATAGCCATAGGTGCAGACAGAGCGATACACAAGCCTCTTGAGTCCTCGCGGTTCTCTCTTCCTCCCTCTGTAAATCTGTCTGTGTTCATCTGTGCTTACGTTTGGTCTCCATTGTTCTGTTCCCTCGTTCCACCGAGGAGGTGCTTGTTTAATCCTGGGGAACTGCCGGACGTCAGACGGTGTGCCAGAATAGTTCTTAAGGACAGTATTCTTCCGGGCACGACTCAAGCAACCAATCAGGTGTCGCCGTACACGTCTGTCGTCGGTGTAGCTAACAATCTTAAGAACTAATCAACCCAATGGCGACCAATAGTATTGAGAATGTCACTCCCAAAGGTGTGCCGAGTGGTTCGACCGGAGGTCAGTACGTCCCTGCTGCTGTTGCCATCCCTTTACTAAGGCCATTTCCAGACATATTGAAGATAGAAGTCTTTGATGGCCGGAACTTCAAACGCTGGCAAGAATGTGTCTTTACTGTCCTTGACATGCATGGTGTGGCTGCTGCTCTTGCTCAATTCGAGCCTCCTACTGATACTGATCAAGCCCAGCGAGTTGCATGGACTCATGCAAACAAGGTATGCCGACACACTATCATTAGCACTTTATCTAATGATTTGTTCGATGTCTACTGTGTCTACAAGAAAGCTTGTAAGATATGGGAGTCTCTAGTTACAAAGTACACTGCTGAGGATGCTGGCAAACAAAAGTTCGTTGTGGGCAACTACTACAAATGGGAGATGACCGAGAACAAGGATGTGAAGGAGCAAATCAACGAATATCATAAGCTGCTGGAGGAGCTTCGTGCTGAAAACATCAACCTTCCAGACGAGTTCGTTGCTGGGATACTGATTGAGAAGCTGCTAGAATCATGCTCTGACTACAAACAGCAACTGAAACACAAAC